CATTGGACACGGTGTGTGAGATTTTCTTCTTTCAAACAAAGCACAATGAACAAACAAAAGAAGCATGCCTTAGAAAAAGTTGGTGAATAAAAGGGTAAGGGCTAGGTCTAGAAAATAGGAAATGGTGTACAAATACCAATTTTAATTTGGATCCTTAAAATTTTTTTATGTTTTTAAGATTAAATTTTCAAGGAATCTTGGAATTGGAAACTTTTTGTCTTTTATTTTTGCTGACCTGTTCCTGTGGTAGTAATGCCATTAATGAAATAGAGATGATGAGGATGGAATAATCTGCCCAATTAAAGAAATAAGAAGCAGTTTGCTGAATGCACTTTTGTAGTAGGCACTTATATAGCTGCCCCAGGTAGGCCACCCGTTGGATATTTCATAAAGACATCTGCAGCCAAGGCCTGTTTAAGAGTGTGGCCAACTCCTCAATTTAGTTTTTCTATATCTTTTTTCTGACCAAAGAACTTATCATTAAGCCATGCCCTATTCAGATAAAAACTTCAAATTTTCATGGCTTAAATGAGAACTGAATTTGACCAATAGACACATCTCAATGCCAAGCTATAGTCCCTATCATGTTCTACCTGCCTGCGTTGTCCTGTTCTACTGAGAGCTTATCACTTGTGTACTTTCTCTGAGTACATGTTGTGGACAAGAAAGAAAGAACACCATGTTCACTCATGATACAACTTTGAGTGGGGAACATTGGGCTGATTTAAAATAATTATTTTTGAGCAGGCTGCAAGTTTTGGTAACACTGATGAGGTCAGGTAGCTCAAAACCTGTAACCCTGTAGGTTCTTTAATAGGTTTACAGTGACTGAATATGAGCATCAGGGCTAAGGAAGAGCATCTTGCCCTCACTTACATGGTTTTGTTATCTCAAACCCCATTAAAAATTAGAGAATGATGCAGGTACAATCGAAATACTCTTTGATCCAGAGTCTTGAGCAAACTCTGCGCGGGAAGGAGAGTGCTGGGAGTTCCCAGAAGGGCGTGGCCATCACCCAGCTGACTTTGCCTCGTCGTCCTAGGTTTGTTCTTATAGCCTCTTCCTTTTTGTATTCTTTTAATAGATGATTGCACAGAATGTTTTTTTGGCTGAACATTGTAAAATCAATGAAGTTCCCAAAAGTCTTGTGCATTTTTGAGCACAGTATGAAAATCAAGGTACCTTTTTTCCACTAGCTCAGTAGGCTCAAGGAGCATTGATTTGTGCTACCTGAAAATGATATTTATCATTTTAATTTGGCCTTTTGAAGGTATCATCTTTAAATAGTTATTTGTTATGGAAAACTGATCAAAGATTTAGATTTCAGCCAAGAATAGATAAGTGAACAAAAACGTTGATTTTTCAAGTGAGTGAGTATTAGAAGTACTGCTGAGCAGCTCTAGAGTCTGATTAAAAGTGAGGAAATGTACAGCAAGTACTAGCTCTCTTACCAGTTTGGAATCCCTGGTCCCTCATGGAATGTTGAAAACCAAGCAAGTTCTCAAAAATATTATTGTTGAAAGAAATAAACAGCACAGTTTTCTAGGGCAAATTAGGACCAACCATACAAGTGCCAAAAGCTTTCAATATTTCATTGTGTAGTGTAATGCAACCTACTGCTCCCTTCTTTCATAGGGGGTATTGTTTGTGATAGCTCAGATAAGCTTTCATTATTGGTGACACATTAAAGTGGTAAGAACAGATACTACCCTTGATCTTAGCCTAAAGGCTGAGAAGCAATGCTGATTAAATAATTTAAAGAAGTCACTTTTCATGAGGGAACATGGGACATGGAAGTGAAGGAAGCTCCCTTTCTTGAAAGCCCCCCACATCTGTTTGTGAAAAGAAGTTTTTAAAATAATTCACCCTTTCAGTGTTTCTTGCAAACATGCTGTACGTCTGACACCCTGCCAGAGACAATAAAGAGTAGAATGATACAACATTGAAATCTTCTGTGAAGTCTCAGAGACAGACACATAAACACCTAACAGAAAGGTGTGAGGTACACAGTCACGGAAGCTGTGAGAAAGCTTGGGAGACCCTCTACTTGGGGGCGTCCAGCCTTTGTCTTTAGAGCCCTGGGATGTGCTGCACGGAGGCTGACCGCCTCAGTGCCAGCACAGCAGAAACATTGGGCACTTCTCAGGGCTCTGTTTTGGTCCTGCACTCAGGCCAGGTGCTGCTGCTACAAATCCGCTGTCTCCCACTTTCCATATACTCTGTGCCTGCTTATCTTTGGTGCAATTCCTAAAATTCACCAAGCTGCCGACATGAACTTCTTATCTCACTTTCCATTTCTTCTTTCCAATCTCTTTTGCCTCTGCCCCTCTAATTTTAAAGCTCATCACCAGGAGGATATTGATGATAATGACAGTAGCTACATCTAACTGATCATTTACTCTGTGCCAGAAACTGCCCCAAGTACTTTCCCTGTATTATCACATTGAGCAATCTTTTTTTAAACTAATTTTTGATACATTTAACATATAAAATACAGTGGTATTCATCATTGGAAATTTGTTCCTTTACATAATCCATCTTGGTTCTTATTTTTTCCCCATTCCCCTGACCTCCCTTCAACCCCTCCCTCCCTCTCCATGAGGTCTTATCCTCAGTAGAGGGCTGCTTGCTGCCCAGCACACTGGGCCCTAGAGATGACTGAGTCACTGGCTCCTCCAGACTTCTCCACAGACCTGAGGTCATGTAGCCTGAGGCAGAACACCAGGAGATAGAGGGAGAGGGAGACACGCTGGGGGGGCAGGGGGTGGGAGGGAGAGAGATGGAGAGGGAGAGGAAGAAAGAGAGGTAGTTAGAAGTTAGAGGTATTAGGCCAGAGGGAGCACTAGACTCTCCTGAATAATCTCATTTATTTTAGTAAGGAAAGGGAAAAGGAGGAAAGTGGTTATTATGGAGGGAAAGAGAAATGGCTACTTAAAGTTTTAAGGCAAACACTGTTTTCAGTGTGTAGGATTCAGATTTTTTCAAAATGTTACCACATTCCTTTATTAAAAGTAGTGTAGTGCTAATTTGCCCATATTAAATATGTGTATATTCAAATATCAGTACCAAATTAAATCCTCAAATCATGTAAAAGTGGGCAGTTTGTGTTTAAACTGTTCTCCCCTTGGCTTCTAATGGTTAGCTCAGATAATTCATAATTGTTCATGGTGTCGGCTCATAGCTGCCTATCAGCAGTGAACTTAGGGGCTGAATTGAGTGGAGAATATGAGATGCGTTAGACTTGTGCAGAAGCTGTGAAACTGAGGCTTTCTGAGTCGGAAACATCATGCATGATTTTCAGATGTGTGCATGGTACAAGGGGTCAATGTTGTTAACGCTTTCCTTTCCTCTGGCCTCTTAACAGAAACTGAGAGGTTTCAGAGACAGTAATTCAGCTATTGTTCTCTCCTTTGGTTTGTGGTGTTGGGAGGATCAGCAGCTAAAAAGTGATTGACGTCCATGTAGCCATCCTCACCTTCAGCAAGTGTTCACTGAGGCTTTGCTAAGAGTGGCACATTTTGCTGGATGATCCTACATTCACCCGGGGAATAAAATAAAGCTAATGCAGCACTTTTTAATTAGCTTGGAATATCTGACTCTAAAGAATATCTCTGCTCCTTTCCTTCCCTGCAGTGTACATTAGTCATTGGAATTTTATTTTACTTTGTTATGCTTATAATGTGTTGATCCTATTTGTATGTCAACCCTTCTGTTCTTAGATTTATTTCAATAAACAGATCATCCTAGATGTTCTTCTCTGGCCATTTGGGAAGTACTATGATTTATTAGCTTTGGTTAAAATTAAAATATGCCTGGGCTAGGGATTTAGCTCAGTGGCACCACACCTGTCTTGTAAGTGCAAGGTGCTGAGTTCAATCCCCAGTACCAAAAAAAAAAAAAAAAAAAAAAAAAAAAAAAATTAAAATATGCCTTTTAGTAATTCATATTAATCTACTTTGATGTTCTAGTCACTTCTTGCTTCCTATCTCTCCCTTTCCATGTGTTTTCTATCACTTTCTCCATATGTCTTTTGAGCAGAGGTCTGGGTGTGCTTGGATTAGGCCAAAGGGGTCAAGTTCAAGGGCCCCCCCAAGGCCAGCCCATTCCACCCAATCACCAAACATGAAAAGCTTTGGGTTTGATGGGAAATGTCCCATACCAGGCATAGCAAAGCACATGCAAAAGAGTATTGTCTTGTACACATTAAGTGCTTTTCAGAGCATTTCATTATCTACTTAGATTTTCAAAACAGCCCTCGCCAAAAGGAGGGAAAACATATTCTGCCATTGTTGTTTTTCTAACACAGATAAAGAAATCACATAGATTTGACCAGGTGACATAGTCACTCAGCAGCACAGCTGTCAAAACACCCCAGCCATAGCGTCTTCCTGTAAAAGCACATGGTGTAGAAGTTCCCCACTGACACAGTGACAACTTATTACAAATACACTTGATATTCAGTGTCTTAGAAATGTAAGAAGAAAGAGCACTCAGAGTCCAGGTATATCTATCTGCCTTTGGCCATGACCACTGAGGAACAAATTTGGAAGCCATGTAACTCCCTGCCCGTGTCTGCACTGCTGTTGGTGTGCAGTTTTTTGCAGGAGCTGACGTTTTAAGCTCCTTGGCTTTCCATGCATGAGCTTAGATTTATATACAGGTAATTCAAAAAAATAGTTTCCAAGGGCTGGGGATTTAGCTCAGTGGTTCCACCACCTGCCTTACAAACACAAGGTCCCAAGTTCAATTCCTGGTACTAAAAAAAAAAAAAAAATGTTTCCAGGTGAAGGGCAGTGGCAAAAAACTCTTAAAGACAGTTATCCACAAACTATCTAATTCTCTTCCTAAAACAAACAGTGGTAAGAGGATAGAGAAGGCAGAGGGTAATAAGACGAGATAGGAGAGTTCAGCTTTGTTCTTTTTTTTTTAAGGCTTATACACAATTAAAATTAACATCCTTGGGCCAAAACATTACTGATAATAACTTTTAAATCCCATAGGGATTCCAGAAAATTTGGGGGCTGCAGACTTATGAGAATATCTTAATTGAGTAAGTATTGAAACAAAAAATTGAATGTTTGATGTGTGTGTGTGTGGTTTTTTTTTTTTTTTTTGGTACCAGTGAAGGAAACCAGGACCCTCACACTGAGCTATGTCCCTAGCTTTTCATTTTGAAACAGGGTCTCGCTAAATTGCCCAGACTGGTCTTACATTTTTTGGGGGGAGGGGGACAGGGTCTCACTGTGTAGTTGAGACTGACCTGGAACTCACTGTGTAGCCCAGGCTGGTCTCGAACTCACAGCGATCCTCCTGCCTCAGCCTCCCAGAGTAGCCACTTTTGGTTATGACATGGCATTTTTATGTCATTTTATCCTTAGTATCATTTCTTGAATATATATGTTCAGGTAGGTCATAGAGTTAAGGAAAGAGACTCAGAGACATGAAGCCCAGCCTTGGTCCCAAGTTCACTGTGTGATGACTGAGACCCGAGCCTGATGTTCTCGCGCCCACTTCAGTGCTCTGTGCATGTACCACCTGTCCTCCCTATCTGCATACCTCCCAGAAACACTGCAGAGTCCAGGAGGAATATGTCCTCCTCAGGTCCTTATTGCAGTGTTTCTGGGAGACATCTCTTTATACTTATTATTTGCAGAAGTGTGAGTTTTCCCATCAAGAAGACAAAAGCTAAAATCCTTGTATCTTTGGAATTAAAAGCATATTGTTGATTGTCACACCACTAAATGAGTGTGAGGGGAGAAACGAGTATGTTCTGTGATGCCGGCAGTCACAGGCTAACAGGATGGTTTGACTTCTGCAGATTATCGTCATGCCAAATGTGACATCTCTTCATGCATTATTTTTAACATTCACAATGAAATATGAAATGGTGTTAACAGTAGCCCAAGGATACCAGAGCTTCAAAATTAGAAATCACTTTTAAGCTTCCTTTCTTCTTCCCCCCTGGTGAACTGCTGTATTAACACTCATTATAGCAAAGCAGAGCAGATGGGCAAACAGACTGATTTTATATATATATATATTTTTTTTTTCTGGAGCTTAGATGTTGGCTCTTTTTTTTAATAAAAGCAAAGAGTTTTTAGATATAGCCTTGTCTTGCTTTCCCTTTTTAATCAGAAATAGAAAGGGAGGCACTTTGCTCCTGATCTATTAATAATGTGGCTACATCCTTTTCTTAACTGCTGACTTCACAGCTCTCTGTGTACCCATTGCAACCAGAATTTGATTTCTCTCCAGTTCTCCAAGCCTCATGTGGTATATTCATGTTCTTTCTGGCTTATAATTTCTTTATGGAATTTATCATTTTAAATTCATGTCTTAGAAGTCCCATTCTTGACAAAGAAAGTATCTAAAATATTTTTTGCTTTTCTACTCAAAATTAAAGCCTTTGATTAGTGGGAATTTAAATTACCCATCATACTATGTCAATAGAAATATTTTCCTGTAGCCTTTTTAAAAAAATTAAATATTTCTTTGATTTTTCTCAAAAGCAGACATGTTATTTTATTCCTTCCTACTTTTATAAAAGTTGGCTCTTAAAAGTCATTTTTCATGTTTATTTCTTGTGTAAATAGAGTGCATAAGAAATACATAACACGTCAGGATTTTTTGAGGATTATATGATATGCTGAATTGGAAATTATGCTATAAAAGTGACGTTCTTTTTTAAATTAGTGCATATTAAGTATACAGAACAATGGGTTTCATTGTGGCATTTTCCTAAGTGTACACAACATGCTTAGATCACACTCACCTGCCTGTATCCTCGCTTACTTGCCCATGACTCCTCCCCCTTACCTCTTTTCTCTTCTCTCATAGTCTCCTATTAGAACTAGATTTTCTAATGAAAACATGCTCTGGCTGAAAACAGTATAGGCAAAGAAAATAGCCATCATAGTTTTTCCTTATAAAAGGACAAAGGTATCCCATGCATGTAATATGTGACATGTATTATTCATAGAACAGTAATGGACTTGTGTAGAAGAGCAGCCCCCATGGTACAGTAGGAAGGACTCTAATGTAATAATTCCCCTTAAGATGTCTAGAGAGTCTTAAGGCAGGATGTGTAGGGAGGAAGGATACACATGCATGGATATGTATTTTTAAAATTTGAATTGAATTTATAAACTTGCTCATACATTTTATCAAAAGAAGAAAATGGCATTCAGTTAGGTTAACTCAAGGTACTATGGATTGTATTTTCTAATTATATGGGTCAGTATAATATATACATGCAAGCATTTATAGAGGATTATATACAAAGCCATGACAGTTGCACCCCTTGTTTTTTTAGAGGTGCCGGGTAATCCTGTCACATAGATTATTTAGTTAAAATCTCAGTGAGACATAGTTTTGGAAGTTTCCATCAAACATCAAAGAGATACTTCAGTTTAATGTTCACACTATGACCTGCAGCTTCAAAAATAGCATGCTGTTAATAACAGTATGTGACAACAAGATGCTCCAGTGGGCTCCATGTTGTGGTCTCTGTGTTTGTCTGCACCGTCTAACTTACCTCTCTAAGCGCTATGGTTTCAGAGATGTAACTGAATAGAGGGTGTAGGGTTGCAAGAGAAAACCTGAGCAAAGCTCATGGAAAATAAAAAAATATTCTATGTGAAGGTACAAACTGAAAGGAATCCTGTTTGGGCAGATGATTCTAGCAGTCTTTTGGGGTTGCATTTCTGAATATTTGCTCAGGTTTGAGGTCTTCAGTTGAGGGTCAGAATTTTCATCAGAAATGAACCCTTGACATTTAGATAAGGATGCCATTCATGGTGTTATTTCTTCAGCTGTGGTCATGCCTTAAACCTGACCTCTATCAGCACTGTCTTCCCCAAAGCCAAGTCAGGTGCCTGTGGGGTGAACACCCATGTCGCACTGTATTTAACCTGTAGGAACTGGACCACATTGCTGCATTGACTGGTCTTCCTAATAATCTCCTTCTCTCATAATTCATATGCTGTAGGGATAGAGAGGAAACTATATCTTGCCTTGTTTACCCCTATATACATAATACCTATCGAACACAAGCCTACACCTAGTGGTTTTCAGTAAATATCTATTGATTAAACTGGTGAATGATAGGACAAGTGTTTATGTGCAGGGCCTAAGTGATATAATAAATTTTGTTAACTATATAAACATGATTAACTTTATAAATTGGAGATTTATGTCCCTCACATGACTTGAACATCGCCATCTTCAAATGGGTAAATTGTTATAAAAATATTTTTATAAACCCATAAAACTTAAAAGTATCACTCTTAAGATGATTACTGCTATGAAATACATAGTGCACAGTACTTCAAAGGTAAAATCTGCACCTACTTAAGGTTTGGAGAGACCTCATAATGAGTGATAGTGTTTTTTAAAACACTTAATTAGCCAGGCATGGTAGCCCATGCCTGTGGTCCTAGCTATGTGAGATGCTTAGTAAAGAAAATCTCTTGAGCCCAGGAGTTTGAGGCTAGCCTGGACAACATAATGAGACCTTCATCTTAAAAAAAAGAAAAGAAAAGCTAAAACTTCCTTAGCAATCATTTGAATTGAATATAAAGCTTGTTTAATTGCTTGATAACCTGATCTTCATGCCAGTACCTGAATAACAGAGGCATCCTTTTAAAATTTATTCTTATGGTTTATCTTTGTTAGTCTGCTGCAATGTTTGATTTTCGTAAAATTTCAGTTTTTAAACTCAATTTTTTGATATAAGACATAGAAGAAGCACCACGACATACCTTTCAGGGTATCAAAGATTAATTCATAGCTTAAATTCTTACCCTTATAGAAACTGAGAATCTTTACTTTTGTTTTCCATGGTTTCAGTTATCTGCAGTTAACAAAATATTAATATTTGTCTCGATTATCACGAGAGACCACATTCACATAAGTTACTAAGATATATTGTTATAATTGTTCTGTTTTTAGTTATTGTTGTTAATCTCATTATGTCTTATTTATAAATTAAAATTTGTTATAGATATGGGTGTGTAGAAAAAAGTTGATATAAAGTTTGATACTATCTATAGTTTCAGGCATCCTCCAGGGGTCTTAGAATGTACCCCTAAGGACAGGGGGATTACCATGCTTCTTGGATAGTGTAATAGGGTGTTCAGGATACATGAAATTTTAAACATGAGATTGGAATGAGGAGGAGAACACCAAGAGGGCTCTCAAAGAGGATAGCTGTAAGTTATATCTCAATTCTCAAAATCCTTGACAATCATGTATTTCCTGTTCTCTCTCCTATTTTACTTTGCTTATTCCAAAGAGGTAGCAACAGACCGGGAGGTGAGTTGAGGTTTCCCTCTCACTTGGGCCCTCTCTCCTGTGTGTGAGGTAAAGGCATTCAGCCTGGGAGCCCATAGTGGTGACCTCTGTGATGATACTAGAGGTGAGGAAGACGGGGTGCTACTCTGGAAAGGTGCTGACGGGGAATGGGAAGTCACAGCAAAACTGACAGCAGTGGCCTGCCAGAGGGATTTCCCTCTTCTACCTTGAGAACTAGTCTCCTCTGTTCCCTGTGTCTCATGTTTCAGTGATGCTTCTTCAGAAACCTGGCTAAGTCAACAGAGTGGATTTCTACACTATTAAAGTTTTCTCACAGTATGAGCAAATTTGGGTCAGAAAAACTCCCTGTATCTTCCGATAGTTCAAGAGGCACAAAGGCAGTAAGCGGGGCCTTGACAAAGCACCAGCAGCCCCAGCTGTCTCCCTGCCCCCAACATACGCCTGATGCCTCCCGAGACAAACACACACTCAGTGTGCTGAGCTCTTCCACACTCCAGTGCCTCCGCGCAGTCTGTGTGGCCTGACACTGTGTGCCTCTGACAGCTGTGTGTTGCCACTCTTCCGAGCCTGGTGAATTTCTGCCCAACCTTTCAGATTTTACCAAAGTAACACTTCTCTTCTGTTCCTGTCTCTGCTCAGTCATAATTGGGGCTGCTCTTATGGGTTCTCCATTGTTACAAATTCCTGTGAAAACCCGACCTTGGTACTATAGTAAGCTGTTTTGTGTGCATTTTTTTTTCATGTTGCATCTCTGCCCCATCAGGCTCCAGAGCTCTGTATCCGAGTACAAATAGACCATCAAAGAGGAATATTGTGGCTTTAAAGATGCTGCTGCCAAATAATAGCGGAGTTTGTTTGTAACATAGCAGTGGTGGTGAACCTATGGCACGTGTGTCAGAGTGGGGTGTTTGTTATCACTGAATGTCTAAAAGGTTCACCAGCGTTGACCTAGGGAGAAAAATCTTCCTGCTTGGCAGAATTTCTCCAATCAAACTTATACAGTGTTTCTGTTAACAAGTTAATATAACCAGTGCTAGAAAATAAGTCAGAGGAGTTTAATGGACATGGGTATGTTACAGTCATACTCAGTACTTACTGCAGTTTGCATTTGCTTGGCTTAATTTAAGATCGTCGCTTTTATATCTGTTTGCTTGTTAGAGTGAATAGGCATATTTGAAAAATTCTCTTTGCTGAGATCTTACATTTACATCAGTAGATTTCTATATGCACAGATGTCCTTTGGGCTCTTGGAAGGAGGATGTAGGGTCAGAAGCACTGCGTGTGGGACTTGAGAAACGTCAGTTGTTCGTAGCGCAGCATGGTGGGATGTGGGTTTCGGTGAAGGTTAAAAGGGGCTTGATGCTTCCATGGCTCTGAGGGTCAGGGCTGTGTTATGGTAGGATGGGTGGAGGGGGAGGAGTGGCTAAGAGAGCTATTTCAAAGGAAACAGCTACCTGATTGTAATACATCATCTATAGGACTAGATTGGCTGTACAAGGGTGATGAAAATATAAGGCAAAAGTGAGCATGTTGGGCTGAGCAAACCCTGAAAATTTGGTATAATAGGAAAAGGTAAATCTGTTCTAGTCAACTTGAGCATAATCTTGTGGTGTATCCATAAATACTTCTGCCTTTATAAGAGACCCATAGAGGCACAAAGGCCTTGCTAGGAGGTAAATGACTACTTTATTTGCTTTTCTTCTTATTCCTACATTTTCCCCTTGATCCTTAAAACATTCAGCTAGCTAAGTAGAAACTGAACAAAAGTAAGTTTAAGTGCTTTTCCCATCTCCTTCCTTTATCCTCCAAAACAGTGTCACCACAGGTAAAATATTGAATTATTTTCGACCCCATCCACAAATGTATAAACCATTCTTCAGCCTAAGGAGGGAGGCTCCATGCTCCTGGAAAGTTTCAAGGAGCTGGAAGAGCTGGCCTGCAGAGTAGGACGGGAAAGAGGAAAAGTCCCTGAAACTGGGTGGGTGTCACATGAATATGCTTTGCTTACTTAAAGGTTTTTGAGATTCCAGAACATTAGCAAACCTATAAGCACATTGCCTGTTTGTGTAAAAGTAGTAGCGTGCAAATGTTTACTTGAGTAAATAAATATGTAATTTTTGTATCTCTTCAGGAAGTCCCCCCTCAGCCATGTGTCATGTGGGGGCGTGCCTTCTGATCTTGCTTTCTGAGTGGGAAGCAAGTGAGAATGGGCCTTTTTGCATCTCATTCTCCAGGCCCAAGTCACAAGGCCAGTGCTGTGGATCACGTGGAGCTCCCTATGTAGCACACTGCTGCTCACACCACACAGCCGCAGCGAGGCCCTGGTTTTGCTGGAGTCACCCTTTCTGACCAGCTTTCTTCTGTTGCAGGTGAACACTTCTCAACAGCAAGCGAATTTTCTTTGTATTTAAAGAAGCAAACAATGTCCCGGTGTCTGTAGAGATGATTTGCGGTTCAGCCCAGCTGAAGCTGACCGAATGAGACTATGGGCTGTGCCTCGGCCAAGCATGTTGCCACTGTTCAAAATGAAGAGGAAGCCCAGAAAGGGAAAAACTACCAGAACGGAGATGTGTTTGGTGGTGAGTGCTGTCACACTTTTTTCTTTTCAGTCTTTATTTTTTATTAGTACATGTTTACAGTACATAATGATTACATTCCTTGTGGGAGCTGGTTCATGTATAAACACGTCTCAGACCCACCCCATCCCTTCCCCTCTTGGTCCAATACCCACTTGAACAAAATCTGTTCTCTATCTCTTATCATGTATTTGTCCCATCAGCTCCTTGTTTACACTTTGGGTTTCTCATATGAGAGAAAAACCATGTGGTAATTAAGCTGGTGTGTCTGATTTATTTCACTTAACCTTATGGTCTCACACTTTATTTTTGACCTGTTGATTTAGGCCTTTGATTTTTGTAATAGCAAAGAGCTGTAGTGAGTAATTAGTATCTTCTAAAACACTAGGCAAGACCTGATAGAAATTGGTGCAAAGCCTTTATGTTAGATAATTTTTGTCATGATTTATACATACAAGGTGTGATGAAAATAGAGTAGGTGTTCAAATTTCTAAAACGTCAGTTACAATAAAAGACCACTGCCTTTAATCCTCCTCAAAATACTTCCGCTCATGTCAAACACACTCCTCCTGTGGTCCTAGCCACTTGTTTTGTTTTGTTTTGTTTTGGAGACAGGGTCTCGCTATGAAGTTCAGGCTGGCCTTGAACTCAAAGTGACCCTCCTGCTTCAGCCTTCCAAGTGCTAGGATTACAAGCATGTGCCACCACACCCGGCCTAGCCACTTTTTGAAGCAGCTCTGGAAGTCTTCTTCTAGGAGTGTCTTTAGGTGTGCTGTCAGGACTATCTCAGTGTCCTGAACAGATTTAAAACATTTGCCTTTTCATGATCATCCTGACTTTGGGGAAGAGCCAGTAGTCATATGGTGCCAGATCTGGTGAAAAAGGTGTGTCCATAATGGTTTTTTATGAGGCTGCCTTTCTGTTGGATGGCACGCAGCATTCATCATAATTTTCATCACACCTTATAAAGACATTCATGAAAGGACTTCCGGAAGTGTTCCAGAAAGTGACAAGAACAATGAGAGAAGTGTGTTTGAAGTGAAGGGACAGGTTGAGGGGGGTTAATGGTAATGCATCCTTTACTATAATTAACTTTTAAAATTTTAAATTTCACTGTATAGTTTGATTGCCCTTGCAGGGTATTTTGAGAAGGATCGTGAAGCTTTTGCTCCAGAGTTAAGATTTCAGCCAGGCTTTAAAGAACCACTAGGATTTAAATTCAAGGTCATGGGTATGTAGGGCAGTGGCCGTGGGCTATCCTGGTTGGTGAGAGCTGTAAAACTGAACAAAGGCCAAAAGTGGGGTGATCTAGCATTTATACAGAAGGTAGTGAGGTATAGTTTAGGGTTAATAGAATGAATTGTACATTTTCATATTAAAAATACAAATACAATTAATGTAATAATCTGCAAAGTTCTCTAGGATGACTCAGAGTGTCTTCAGTATGTCTAGTGCAAAGGTCACAACCTCCAATTCATAGCCGCTTCTGGCTTACAGATATATTTTCTCTGCCTCAAAGAACTGTAAAATAAGAAGTAAAGCAGCCTTTAGCACTCATAGCATTTCACATAAAACCCCAAATTTCTTCAGAAGTTCTGGCAACCCCAGATTTTCATTCCTTGAGCAGCAGTCAGTGGGTGGGGCGACAACTGCCCAGCGGTCAGTCAGTCGGATCCTCCAGTGAACCAATCTTCTTTATAGATACGCATGAAGTCCAGGTCATTCCCTTGCATTACCCATCTGGCTACTTAGAGGACCTTGAGTTTCCCAATCCTGAGTTTGTCACTTAGAAGATCAATTATTATGCTGGCCATAGTGGCACATGGCTGTAATCCCAGCACTTCAGAGGCTGAAGCAGGATTGCTGTGAGTTTGCATCCAGCCCGGGCTATGTAGTGAGTTCAAGACCAGCCTGAACTACATAGTGAGACCCTTTCTCAAAAAAAATTTAAAAAAATCAATTATTGTTCCAGTGAAGTATGGATATGTATACATTCCCTTTAGTTCAAGGCAGATGAAACAAGATGTTTTTTGCTGAATGATTAACAATAATATCTGTGACTTGACATTTGTATCATCCTTTTATTAATAAAAACATTCCTTTCTCTCTTACTAGATAAGGAACCCCATTGAGATAATGTTTACATTGTGTTGCACCATTCAGTCACTGTCAAACAAATCTGTGTCTTGTACAGGCTTAGCTTTTGATTCATTACAGTGGCTATTCTGGTCCTCTGGTGAAGATTGGGAATTCTACAAAATGTTTTGTTAAAATGGACTATTGTGAATGGGAAGAAAGAGTTTGTTTTACAGAGATGAGTGGGGGGCTGGGCTGAAACAAATTTGCCTCTCATGTTAACTGCCCGTGGAGTTTAGAACTGTGGAGAAAAATAATGGATATATGAGCATTTTAATAAAACTAGAAACTGAGATTATTGACACTATGGTATCTGGGAAAACAGCTAATTAGAACTAGAATTCTATTGTCACCTTCAAATGCTTTACTTTTCTTTTTTTTCCTTTTTTTGGTACCTGGGATTGAATTGGAGACCTTGTGCTTATGAGGCAGGCAGCGGCACCACTGAGCTAAATCCCGGCCCTGAAATGCTTTACTTTTAAGAGATACTAATCTAAAATGAAGAATTTGCTTAAACTAACTTCTATGTGATGTTCTGTGACATTATCATTTTTATAACAGAACTCCTATGTATGGAGCTGCCACCATATGTCAGACACAAGAGGCATTTACACTCATTTTTGTGTTGAATTTTTACAGTAATTCTGTAAAATATGCATCACCGTGATGTTATGTATCTGGAGGCTGGAGCATAGAGGGACCTAGCCAAGGTTGCCTGGCTAACCAGGGGCAGCATCTGCGTCTCTGATTCCACTGAGCCTTTTTGAACTTGCAGTCTTCTTGCCTCAGCCTCTTGGAGTGCAGGGATTACAGGTGTGCACGACTGTGGCTGGCTGGTCACTCGTTCTTTAAAAATGAATGCTGTGTACAAGGGCTTTTGCTAAATGCCATGATGATTACAGAGATAAATAATCCATCATCCTCACTGTCTAGGACTTTATGAGAAGTAAGGAAGTATTTTAAGGCAGAATAAGTCAAATACCAGAAAAGGAAAAAACATACATCACGATAAGAATCAGCAGGTGGATAGTCTAACTTACAAAGCAGAATTAGAGCAGATTTCTTAGAGAGATGACATCTGAACTTGGCATTAAAGGGTTAGAAGAACCTAAGCTTGTTGGATGACAGATGTAAGAAAGAACTAGATTAGGAAAGGCTAGACAACATGTTCAAGAATTATAAATAATCTAGTTTGAATGGAATATAAATGAGAGAAAACTAAAGGTTACAGAGAACTTTGAATATCAAATTGCAATCTTTAGAAAAATAATCTCAGACTGTAACGGCAAGATTCAGTGATATCCAATAGAGTTTTATACTCACATTCTGCTTAGCAGTGAGACCACCGAATCATTCATTTCCAAATTGGGTTACAACTTACATAGCCAGGAAGCCTCTATTGCCCTAATGTACTATGTGTATTCTGCAGATATTAACATCTGCTAAAGCAGCCTTATATCAGTCAGCTGTTGTGGGTATTAGACAACCGCATGATCTCAGGGACATTCAACAGTAAGTATTTTTTTTCTGGATCATGGGTTGTTGAGTCAGCCAGGGTGACACTGCCCCACGCTGCTTTCACAGAAGGGCCAGAGTGCAAGCCACATATGTGACATTTCTTAAGTGTGGGCTTAGAGCTGGCACACTGTCACAGCCACCCACTTTTCACAAGCCAAAGCAGATCCAAGAATAACCCCAAAATCAGGAAGCCTAAAAGTATGCTCTGAAACAGGGGGATAAATGCAGTGAGAGTCAATAATTGGGTCTAATCAGGGTACCCCAAGCCTGTCTAGTCCTTGCTGTATCTGTGACTCCATGAGTCTGAACCCATGAAATGCAGTTAAGGGCTCTGCTAAAATTTTGTTTATTCACCCAGTACTCATTGAAGTATTATGTACTCCTTTGTCTTGTCAGACTTTCTAACATAAATATTTTCAAGTTTGTGGTATGGTGTTCAATAAAGCAAGAGTACAAGGGTGGACAGAGGTTCACCAGTCAAGGGAGGTACTTTTTCTAGCTCCCTAGTACTCTCAGGGAAGAACTGCAAGAATTCAGTGGCGAGACAAATGCCAGTACCTTACATGTTACTGAGTGCCAGAGTTTAAATACGACAAGAGAAGATCCTACCTGTGTTACTCTACTTAATTTATAAAGAGAAGTTCACAGAATCCTGGATGATCACACATGGTAGCAGATGAATGATGAGTTTGGCTCATTTTAAAGCATTTGATATCTTTTGTCACCTATTATTTCAGAGATCTGTAATTGCACACTTAGTGGCTTGAAACAGTAGTGATTTATTGTATGGCTTGATTTTATGGGATGGCTGGGATTCATATGCTCTTGGCTTCAGATCTGTATACAGAAGACCTCTCTTCTCAACTGGGCAGCCAAATTCTTCACACAGTGGTTGTGATCTACCTTACTTTCCATCTCTGGGACACAATACTTGACACATTCACAACTTAACGGAGGAGAGTTCTATTATGGCTCAAGTTTTATAAAGTTTTCAATCTGTAGTCACCTGGCTCTAGGGCCAAAAAAGCAGAGTAGAAGGACCTGGGTGGAGGAAAGCCACTCATCTCATGGCATCCAGGAAGCCGAGGAGCAAAGGGAGGACCTGGGGAGAGAGATAAACCCTCCCAGACCAGATCTTATCCTTTACTAGCAAGTCGGCTGTAAACCCCCATCATCCAGTCACCTTCCAAAAGCTCTGCCTATGAGCATGTGAGATTTGGGGGAACTACTAGATATAAACTGTAACATGGTCTTAAAATCTAGGGTGTAGAGTCCAGGAATGTCACTTTTGTGCATTCTGTTGATCAAAACAACAACTGGTCTCATGGAGCAGCTTGGACCCCAGGGAG